GGTAACCAGTTCTGCACACTGAAACCAGGTGAGGCATGCTATCGATTTATGTGAAAGCATTCTTAATTTTTTTCTCTGGGACTGTGAATCTCATTCTGAATACATCTATTGTCTGTTTTTGAATGTAAAAGTATGTTATGAAAAAGTCTTCACTGAGCTGTCCATATTGATGCCCTGGTTCCTTTCTTAAACTAATGCTTTATTTAGACTTGCCTATGGCTTACAACTTTTTCAGCATTTAGCAGACCACGTTAGAAAAAGATAATACAAAAGACAACTCATTACTTGCATTTAGACTGTAATGACTGTTACTTCTGTGCTCTGGCATTGCCTATATTAGGCTTCACGTGAATCAGCTGGCTCAAAAGCCATATTGTGTTGGGCCTGCAGTACCATACAAATATAAATATACTACTTCTAGACAGAGGCAAATACCGCATAATACTGGGCCGTTGTACATGCACATGATATCTAGAGCTGATGCTGTCACAGCAGTTTCTGTGCTGCACTCCAATATGCACTGAAAATAGGAAGTGTGTTGATCAAATCAATCTGCTCACCAGCCTTAAAATGATAAGATTTGACACTGGGATTTTGGATTTTGTCAATTAACTTGGCTCCATGAGCATCAAGGAAGACGCAATGCAAGTGCTGTAGTTTTGTGCTGCAACTTAATTCTTGGCTTGCATGTTGTTAAAAAACAAACAACCCCCCCCTGTGTGTTCATTGCCTTTCCTAGCATAAAAAGAACATCCCCTCCTCTTTTCCAATCATGATCACCAGTACATAAATATGTATGTCATAAAATATCGTGGTTCTTGCTTTAGAACTGATAGTTTAGATCTCTGTACTTGATTTGCACCTCTGTCTTCAGAATTGCTGTGCCGCCTGCAGGAACAGATCTGCAGATTAGATTAAATTACTGAAGATTAAACAGACTTTTTAATTTTTGGTGTTTTTACTGGCTAGATGAGCAGATGTGGATGGCTCTGTGAAAGAGCATACACTCTGCTGAGGGATGCTGGCAGACTCAAGGGGCTATGCTTGTCTGGAAAGGCCTGTGGTGATAGAGGAAGACTTCTGCAGCACAGGATTCATGACTCACAGGAGCACAGCAATACAGGAAAGATGGAGTGATAGGGCTGTGAACCTGGAACTGACAAAGTTCACAATGGGCAGTTTATAAGATGGTGCTGCTCTGAGTCTAACCAATATTCTCTGTCATTTATTTACACAATGATCAAATTTAACAGAAGTAAACTAAAAAGAACAAGCTTGTTTCTCTTGTCTCTGGAATTACTCTCCTCCTATCTGCTTACTTAACCAGAAAAAAAAATTATGGCTTTAATTGGCCATTAACTAATGGCAGTCTCAGGAAAAAAGGTTGCTTTCACAGGCTAGGCTTCTGCACCTTTGAGCAGGAGTTTGCAGATCAATGATCTTAAGCCCCGAAGCTCAGGGCTGCAGGGAATGTTTCAGCATGCTGAACACCACTATTTGACACTTGCATTTTGCTTTGATGCATTGGAAGCCACACTGTGAAGACAAGTAATCCTAACTGAGAGGGCACAACAGCTTCAGTGCTGTGTCTTAATGTTTGTGATTTGTTTGCTGCTCTTTCAAAATGAGTTTCTGTCAGTGCTGCAATACCTATACTGTTGAGAAACATGCAGTCTGATCTTCTTAGCCCTCTTGAAATGAGCGTGCAGATGACTAAACAGCAGAATGTCTGTCGGAGGTACAGCTTCTATCACTCATTACTGGGAAGACCAACACTTCACTAGAGGTATAGCTATTGGGTGTGCACTAGCAGAACTATACTGGTGCTCACATGCTAGACACCACAGGATAGCTCACCATGCTGGTCCCCCTTGGCTTTATGAGCTGTAAAATACATCTTCACTCAGGAGCCTTCTTATCACTTTTTCTGTTGATGGTGGTAGCAGCAGCACTGGCTTAGTGCTTTGGTCTGCAAACTAGGGAGAACATTTAGTTCTTTCCTCTCCTACTTCTATGATGTTTTCAAACCAACTTTTACTAATGATTCATATAGTCAGTGTTTTCTAAGCTAAAGTTCTTTCCAAAGCTCTTAGACACTAACTACTGAAAAAATCAGAGTTTGCATTAATTCCTCTGCTTTATTTACTTCTGAATAATCATACAGTGTTCGTTCTTTTACTTTATTCACTTTAAGGAAAAAAACAAACAAAACCCAAACCCACAACTAAAACAAAATCCTTGTCACAGAACATTTTCAACTCCTTAGTGACTTACAAGCATTACTTAAATATCTTCTGAAATTGTTTCCTCTGGCAAAACTCAACAGGAAGAAAAGAAAGGGGAAAATACTGGCCACTTTGCTCTGGTTGCAGATGATACACATAGCATGCACTCGGTAGTCACAGGAAATGAAAAGCTTCAAAGGCTTGACCAGAGCTGACATTATGTCTCCTTACTAGATGGTAGTTCTCTATCTTCCACTGGAAGGATATATATCACACTTAGAAGCAAAACTCAGCCTTAGAATAGTTCAGAGATTCTGGGAGAAGCTGTGAAAAAACGTAGCTTGAACCTAATACCCTTCTCAAACATCACACAGAAGACCTAAACACACACCAAAACCCAAACACACATGAAAAGGACAGAAAAATGGGCTTTTCTGTTTTTCTAGAAAAATTGTAGTTTTTTATCAGCTGAATAAAAATGAGGCTTTGATTGTTCTAAAGACCTAATTATAAAGCAGAGGCATTTTTTCTAGCTACAACAACTTACATTTTCTATGGTACCTTTCCTGATTGCACTTCTCCCATTTTATAAGTAGCTGCATAAAAGCAGAAGCAGAAGCTCAAAGTTGTTTCACCTGGAAAACCGCTGATGCTGCAATATTGTTTCAGCCCTTTAACCATCAGTCTGTCATCATCTCCAGACTCAGTTCTTACAGTCTTTCTGTCCTGGCCTGATGGACACAGGCAGCATCATCTTTGACTTTTCATTTCTCTCAAGTAATTTCCTACTACATTCAATCTCTCTATTTCCTTTTGCTTCTTTATCTCATTAAGTTTTGCGCTCTTCCTTCCATAGCCTGACCTGCTGCTCCTTACTCATATCTGAATATAATTGTTCCCATTCTCCTTTTGCTAATATTGCCAGTACAGAGTACCTTGTTAACTGAACAAGATTTTATGAAACTGGTTCAATTTCTGTGCAGATGTTCATAAGCAAGGGCTGTCAAGATCTGAGAGGTTTAAGATACAATTGATCGGACAATTTCAGGAAGCATCCCTCTGATTCTGGAGATTTGAAATTTGGGACACTACACATCAAGCCACACTAGGGGGTCTAGAAGTTTGGGATCACCAAAATCCTTCAGGCATGTGGTCTTGTTTTACAGATTTTTTTTGTCTCTAGAAGAAATTATAGCAACTGTTAATGACAGTAACACCACATTCTTCTCCTGCCGTTAGATCGTGGTGTAGTATAGAAAGCACCTTTGAATATAGTTTTTACAAGATAAAAAGCACAAAGGACCAGAAAGGGGATATTTCTTCCAGGTATCAGAAAAGCCCTTTGCTTACGACACTGAAAACAAATCACTGCTGGCACCTCCTGTGGCTGTCACACAAGTTGGATGTGAACTCCTCATTCTGTTGCTGCTTTTCTCCCAGATGAAGACTTCTCACAATAGTTCCCTGGCCTAGCACACGTTTTTGGGAAGGGTGTCTCGATCTACTTTGTTACTTGTAACTGAAATCTATCTTTGCATTGCCAAAACTAATCAGTGCTAACAGTCACCACAGAGACAAGGGAAGCACTCCCAAAGAGGAGGGAATGAATGTGTGTGACTGTATGTATGCACGTGCCAGCTATTGTAGGTGCACATGTACACATCTCAGTATGCTTGCTAAAACTGTTGAGCCCTTTAAAGCTACGAGATGTAACTAAAAATCCAGGAATCTGTTTGGTGGGTAATCAATCATATATAGGATTTTCTGTGTTTAGGGCAGAAAGTAAACCTCCAGAGATTCGGCTCAGAAAGGCTGTACCTGTTGAGCAGATAGGCAAAGGACTCATCAATTCTGGAGAAATAATAAAAGCCCTGGAGAGTCAGTGGGCCTGGCCTGTTTTGTGATTAAATAAAGCTCATTTGTGCTATTCTTGCTTTTCACCTTTCTCCCTTAGATCAGCCCAGCCCCTTAAACGTGGAATAATTTTTTGTTAAAATCAAATCAGTACATGGGGCTTAGTTACTGCAAAATAAAAAGTTACAGCCATTCAGGATAATAAAGAACAAGGCCCACTGCCTGATTATCTTTAAATAGTGCAATTATAAATTCTGATGAAATCAGGAACCATCTGAAGTCATCAATACCATATTAAGAAGCAAAATTACCCTCTTTATCAAAAATTGTTTATCATGGTTTTATGAAGAATTGTACATAGTTTTAAAATAATGATGGAGTTTAAATCATGGTTCAGCACATTGCAAATACTGCTGCTTCTCAGTCCAGCAGGTGCTAATGTTCAGGATAGAGTAAATACTGGGTTAATCCGATTTGCAATGAGGAAAGAACTATCTACCGAGAGCAGTGCAGAGCTGTTGTCTCACAAGGAAATTTGGAAAGCATCATCTTGCAGGGCAGGGAGGGGCACACAGTTCCAGTAGCTCTTCCTGAGGAAAAACAGCAGGTCTGCTGCTGCCTCCTTAGACTAGGGGGTTGCTGGACTTCTGCTGCTGCCAGGAGGTTAATTTAGGGAAGGGCATGGTCATGTGTCTCCTGAGACAACAGATGTTGCTGGAGTCAGGCCTTGCCATGCCTGTAGGGGTAGTATTTGCTAGCCAGAGGAGTTGGTCACAATCTTCTTTTGAAGTACAGAAATTGAGGATTTACCGAGAAATGATACATGTTTATAATTGTCTGCATAGTCACCATTTAAGCCACTTGGGAAGACAGTGTTGGGAGGTAAGAGGACAGCACAAAGATCTTTGCAGGCAGTATTCCTCAGGGAAGGTCATTCTGATGTTTGACAAGACTATTACCATTGGAGAGCTTCAGTGGTTCAGCAGGAATCAAACCTCCTGTGGTATCATTGTCACACAAGGTACAATAGTCACTACTGCTGAAGGACACATTTCCTATCTCCAAAGATTCCTGAAGCATAATGAAGTCACCCTTTCCATGCTGTGAGTGAGAGGGATAATTCCTTCCCATGCTAGGGCTTTCAAGGTTGACTTTAACTATTTCAGAGATTTTCAGGCCAGCTGTATCATCAGCATGGTTTTGTGCAAACAATAGTCCCAGCCTCACTTCTACCTCTTCTGCTCTTACATACCTGCTGGTGACATACTGCTGGCATGGACCTGAGGCAAATACAAAGTTTTCTTCTGCAGCAACCAGATTTGTGCTTTCCACAGGTTTCAAGGAGATCTGGGAAATCAGTTCTTGGGTGTTTGGATCAGAAACTCCATCTGCAGTCACTTTGTTTGAGTTGCTGGCCTCCTCTCTTCTAAGTAGGCTACAAGTCTTATTAGGTCCAACCCAGTCCTAGCAAAAGGATCAATAAGTTCAGGATATTTTGCTTAGAGTTGGATTTTGCAGAATAACTGTTCTTTCTATATGGCTTTGGCACAATAATCCAGAGGTTTAGTGCAAATCTCCTGGGCAAAGTTAGAGTAATAGGATAGAGAATTTAGCTGCTAATTTCACAAGATTTCACAAGAAATTTTCAAGATTTCACCTCCAGAATATAGTGCAAGCTGCTTGTATTGCTTTGGCTTTATGAAGACAGAGTGCACCTTTCAAGTTCAACATGGATAGGGAGTGAGTGACTGGAGAGGTTTTATTTCTAAGGAGAGAGAAGCTGGACAGAAGCTCTGGTGGTGTAGCTAGTATGTGGAGGCAGGAAACTGAGAAACTGTAAACTCCCAGGAAGACCAGAACCATGTGTCAGTAGCTCTGCTCAGGAGCTAGAATGATTAATCCCAGGGGAAAAAAAGATCCTCCCCTCATGAACTGAGGGTCATAAGAAAGAAATGAAACGAAACATTTCTTACCTTAAAATTCCCATTGTGCAAATTATAGAGTGGCTGAAAGAAAGCAGCTGGCGTGGGAATGTTAAAGCAGGAGAGGCTTTTTGCCCTGAAGTGAGAAAACAACAGTTAAAATAAAAAAGACAGACAATTTTTCCGTATTCCCTCTCAATGATATAGCACACTGATTAGATGAAAGCCCCACGCTTGTTAGAAAGATTGCACGAGAAGCCTATTTCACGTGGTTTCTGACATCTCATGCAATTGTTTGTCTGCCTCCTGTGCATGCATTTAATGTTTCTAGCCTGAAGCACAGTCTTAAAAGTTTGAGGAATGCTATATGCCACAAACTCAATACTAGTCTATTACTCATTATATGCACTAAGCTATTTATGCATTTGTTTAGTAACTTATTTGATCTAAACCACTGTTTCTGGAAGTGTTTTAGAGAGTTCTAGTCTCATTACATTTAGACAGAGAAATCCTGCCAGACATCCTAGTCCCTTTATTAGAGTCTATCCTGTAAAAATATTCTATTGTATGGACAGCATGTATTCTGTTTCTCTAAGAGTGACGTGTATGGAGCATAATAATGTGTGTCAAGGCAGAAAAGGAAGAGGTAGGAGATTTACCTTTGCTCTGCCAGCATAGAAAAATTGCAGAGGATGGTTGAACCAAGGTTCTAGAGACACTTTTTTCTCTGTACAACTTGGTCCCAGAACCTAAGAAACACTGAATCTGAGTCAGTGTAGTTTGCCTATATTGGTATTTTACATACTGACTACTGCCAGGTACATCACAAATAGCTTAACATTGACATCAGTTTAATAACCTTTATGGATTGCTGTGTATTTGCACTTTTAATTTATCTACATGAAACTTAACAAAAAAATTCCATGGGTTTAAATTTCTTTAACTCCAAGAGACCCTCAACCTTGAGCTTTAGCCGAGTTTGGGTGCTACAAAGGCACTTTGGTCTCCTTAAGGATTGTGTAATGGGTCATTAACTATCATGAACCAAGGAACATGTCATACCCCAAGATTGTCAAAAGAGCTTTTGAAAATGATTGAGTCTGTGCAGCAGGAACAGGAAGCAAAAGGGATATAAGGACACTTGATTTACCCTCTTCAGGCTATAAAGATCAAGGGGAACTTAATGAAAAACTATAACACACCTTGAAGAAAGCTTGCAGTTCCAAAATAAATAGAGTAGAGTGCCAAAACTCAGAGGAATGAACAAGAACTGCATAGTTCTGGTATTTAGGATCTTTTCAGACAGTTTTGGTACACCTAGGAAAAGAATCAGCACAAAAATAATTGATAAAAAGTCTGGAAGTCAAGATAGAACCCCAAATAGCCAAGCAATGCAAATGAACAGGCTGCTAAAGACCTCAAGGAAAGTGATTTGGCTATGAAAACTTGAAGGAAGGTAGTTCTGATTTGAAAAGCTTCATTTTACCAGGTATCTTCCTTTTTTTAGAACATGGACATGAAAAGACATAAATTAAGGTAAAAACAACATTCTTTGTACCTGGTCTTTGAAATACTGTTGTCTGGCTCCACTCGCTCCACTGACTATGGTACGAATCCTCATTTTCAGAAACTTTGCAGCGAACTCGTGCAATGTAAGCAATGCCACTGCGAAGCTCTGTGGCTTCAATTTCTATCTGTGGCAGTGAACTGGGTGGTGTCTTGTTCAATGCGATCTGCAAAGTATTACAAAGAATTTCTGTTAAGGCCGGGCAAAGGGATGGTCTTTTAAATACTACTTTTTTTAATTTTCCCTTTTCTTTTCCAAATCCTCTTTTCTTGGATGCAAGAAGAGGGCCTGCACGATGATGGCTGACTTCTGAATGCAGGGTTCAGGAGAAGATTTATTGATCTTCAGTACTGATGTTTTATATAAAATCTTTCAGCCTTGATGTGGGAAACCAGAAAGGCCACCTTAAAACAGTCAGCTGCCAGAAGGCCCTGAGCTGAATGGCAAGGCCATTGTGCCCAAAGAGCAAGGCAGTATCAGTGTGTGCCTCATCCAGTTACCTCCCAGGACATGCTGTACTCCTTATACTGCAGCTCATATTGAAGAATTTCAACGAGGTACCAAGGCACACTCCACCATATCTGACACTTGCTGGCAGTGATGTTGCTCTGGATGTTCAAAGGTGGATCAAGTTTTACTGCAAATAGAGAGGTAGGTTTTTTCCACAATATCTGGGACATGAACACCACAGAAGGAGATGCATGATACTAGGCTGACTAAAGTCTTGGAAGATAAAGCTGGGTCTAAAGAGTGATACTAAGACCAGCAGTAGACCAAGTTAGGTTACAGGGTAGGTCAGAACAGCTACAGAATTGACATAAATTAATGATAACTCAAATAGCCCCTGGGGATAGTCCTGCAAGCAAAGAACCACTCCGGATGTCACATTCTGCTCTTCCAACACACCACTAACAATAGACAGGCTCTGAGATTTCGAATACTAGAGCATTTCTCTAAAGTACCAGGCCATGGGACATTGAATTAGATCCATGACTTTGATTCCTCATGGCTTCATTTCTTAGAAAAAAAACCAACTATAGAGGCAATCCAATTGTACATTATCCATGGCACAAGAAAACATGATGCAGATGAGAAGTATACTTGAAAGGTGCTCCAGAGCCAGCCCTCTCTGAAGTCCTGGAAAAGTCAGAATGGAGAGACACTGGGACTGCATCCTTACTGATGAAGTCCACATAGTGCACTCTGGCTCGTTTCCATTATTTTCACTTGCTGTCTTTGAGACACCCTTTGTTAGAGAGTATATCAGACCTACCCCAAAGCTGCTAGGCAGAGCCTCAGTCCACAGCTGCCCTGGTTCATACTTACTGTGCTTGCGGGGATTGTACTCTGCAAAGATAATGTACGTGTGATTACGTCCAAAGAAGTTGCCTTGGAGAGAGACTCTATAACCATCTGTTTCCAAGATCTGGCTGGCTAAATGGATTGTGCAGTGGTACCGATTCTGCATGCTCTCTCTGGCAGTCAGTTTGCAGCTGGCGTTGTGGCCCTTTGACCAGAGGCTAGAAGAATAAAAGGGCTGAAAGTTTCTTTTAAGTCATATGATTAAGTGCTTTTTCAGTTTATGGAAGATGGGTGGCAGCTTAGCACAGCACCACATTCTGGAAGAACGTGAACCTCTTTAGTGCAGACAGCAGAGAAAATGCTAAAGCTGGCTGGATGGCAAGGCTGAAGAGGGAGGAAGGAGACACCTTCATAACCTCACTGCTGAGAGCACCAAACCTCCCAGGACCTGCCCATAGAGCCCAGTACCTGCCCCCTGCTCCCTCTGAAAGTGAGAGGGCTGCTATGTGTTGCTTGCCTGGAAAGCAACTGGTGTAGGGGGGGGTAGGAGTGGGTGGACAGTTAGTTATAAGTGCACAGCGATAACAAGTTGTACATTAAAGCCTCTTTTGCTACGAACAAGCCAGTACTGACAGCAAAACATGTCAGAGGTTGGTTTGTTGTTTGTTTTGGGTTTTTTTGGGTCGTGTTTTTTTTTTTTTAATATTCACAAGCTTCACCACAGCATAACAGGATGAATGACAGAAAACATCATCTTGGGGAAAGAGCTCTAAAGAACAGTCTTCTATTATTAAGTTATCTAACGTAGCCATTTATTAGCAAATTTTTCATTTTGCATGTGACCCACAATAAACTGGAATACCACAGTTTATCAGCTTGGCATTCTTTCATAGATTTAAAATCCAGTATCATTAAGCGTTAGGCTATTTTTGACTTAATCTTACCAGAATATATGAGGCATCTAATGTCAGCGTGGCTTACCCTCATGTAATAGTTGACTAGTTATTGGTAGTCATGACAATGTTATTACATAATCCAAACACATTCATCTCAAATTAGCATATCACAATGCTTATTATCCTATCGCCTAGCAAACTATTCACCCGATTTCTTCTGTTAGAGGAAAAATTATTCACGTACTATTCTAGAACTGTTATTAAAGCTTATAACTCACTGGACTTTCAAAATCCTTTTGTGTATATATATTAACTAACTCAGATTAAACCACTAGGGGTTTACTTTCTAGGCAACAAGACAAGACATGATTAGAAATTGATTAGGCAGCTTCATGTAGGATGGGCTCTGGAAGTCCCCAGATCATGGGGAGCAGAGGCTAGTGTGGGAAGGCTCTCTGCGCTGAGAGGCCCCTGCCAGAAGGGGACACTGGATGGATGGACTGCCCTGAGCCGGAATGAGATCATTCAGCCATGTGTGCTGGATCTCTGCTGCACCCCCCGAGGCTGCGGGCCCACAAAAGGGTGCGAAGCAAGCAGCTTCTAAGGCAGCCCAGGTATGGGGTGACGAGGTGGCAGAGCTAGCTGTGCCACAGGTCTCCTGCTGTGGAGGGAGCAAAGCCCACGGCCAGGCCCCATCTCTGCTCCTCTGCACTGTCCTGCCCATGCCAGGGCTGCCACAGCCAGCTCTTGGTGTACAGCTCTTACTTGGTGAAATGCAGGTGGAAAGGTCCATCGCCCACAGGCTCCTCCATTGCCCACGTGCAGCTCACGGTAGTCACGTAGTTATTCAGGCAGCTCAGGCTGCCAGGGAACTCTGCAGAGGAAGGAGACCAGAGCTGCATTTGTGTATCACCCGATGAAGCCTTACTTGGTACATCAGATGCATTACTTGCTAGTGCTTCCTTTACTGACACCTCATCTATCCTTCTTCATGACGTTCTTCCTCTCTTGTACCACACTTCACTGCCTGAGATGAGTGTAAGATCTTAGGGCAGGGACCCTGGGCAGTGGCTATGTTTTTTCTGCTGCCCAGCTTGTCCAGTATGTGCTCAGTTCCCTAGGCCTGGCATTGCCAGCCAGCTGTACCAGTTCCTGGGACCTGGGAAAGGGCAGTCACAAGATCTTGTGTTGCATACTTTAGGGTCTGTGAATGAAAAATGAGCACATGCATATGCCTCTCTTCCCACAGTGGACCTACTCCAGATCTCCTCTTACCTCTCCCTCTTCCTCCACCGAAGAGCAGCACAGCAGTAATGCACAGCTGGATGCCCAGCTGCCACACATCTCCTCCCATTCCAGACAATATCTAAAATAGAACAATTGTTAGAAGCAGTTTTGTCAGCATTTGTACCAGCAGGTTGAAGCTTTAGCTTACGTGCTTCTGCTAGCCCTGACACAAGCTGACCTTGACTGTCAGACAGGGCACCAACTCAGCTATATAATTTCTTCTGTAAGAATTGTTCTTCTCATGGCAGTAAATAGTACTTTGCACAGGAATCTAAAGCACCAGCTGCCTGAAAGAAAACCTTTAATTCCTGCCATTTGATCATGGGCAGGGGTGTGTTCCATCTTTCCTTCTTCCTGCTTTTTTTGGCATCTGGTTTATGACAATTTAAGGGCAGCAGAGAGCCACAGTGGGTTGGAACAAATGTTCATGTTTCCCCATATCCTCTTTCTGACAGTAACCAAAACCAGATGCTTAGAGAAAACTGTAGCAATAGAGAAAGCATAGATGTTCTTCTCTGAGAACGTTCTCAGCCTCCAGACATTTGCAGCTCAGGGGCTTCCTGAGGCAGACATAATTTCTGCATATTCAAGGCTTCAGTAGATTTTTCTCTCATGAGCTTGCCCATCAGCAGTAGTCACCTGCTGAAAGCTATCATCTATACCATGAACACTGCTGCCTGCCTTTAATAATGGTTCTTTTTTCCTTGAGAGAGTTGAGTAACTGGTCTTCCGCACCTCCCCCTTCTCTGCACTAGAGGAACACTTGCTTGACCTGCTGGTGTCACAAAACTTTTGAGGGAGCCTTTCCTCAAGCCACTTGGAATTGTCCTGATCTAGTGTGAAAGGGCTTGAGGTCAGGAACAAAAGCTGGGATAGAAATAGGTGTTCTAGCCTACAGATTTTTTGTTTTAGAAATTCATCCATTTCATATCTGAACAAAACTAAGACCTAACATAGTTTTCTCTCTCTCAGACACACAAACACACATACACAAGAAGCTACAATTCCAGGAAGATAACCAAGTTGCTCATCTGCAGTGTGGAACTCTTGGGATCACATTTCCTTTCCGTAAGTACTTCCTTGCTGTAAAAGAAAACTCCAAAGACAGAAACAGAGAGAATAGCTGATACGCTCCTGGTCAAAGCACTCATCGGGGATATAGAATACTTAGGTCCTAATCATCACCCCAATTTAGTGAAGGGTTCTGTAGGGATATTTGAAGTGTATCATCTGCAATATGGAACACTATCTCTCTACGAGGTTATACTGGACTTCCTCTCTTTCTTTTTAACCAGAAATTCCATTCTGTGAATTCTTTCCTGATGAAGCTTTCATTTAAAATTATACTTTTTCATAAAAAGTTTCTGATTTGATGATTTTCCAGCAAACAAAGTTTAATATGAAGAATCCTGACCTGATCTACCCAGCAATATATGGTATTTTTTTTAAGATGCTTCCAGTTTGCAATATTTGCTGTTACCTTAATGCAGCAAGCAAGCCCAGCACCTCTGCAGGTAGTGTGGGTGCTGCTCTAAGGAGCCCATGACTCAGCCTGGAACCCAGAAAGCATGGAATGAGTTTGTTGACAGAGACCACTAATAAGTATAGACAAAACCAGTTACTTGAAAAATTCAAAAAATATTGGAGGAACACCGTTTGTACTGTTTGCCCAACATGGACACTGAACTGAGCTCTAGGGCTGGGGTAACGAGAGGCTGGGAGACTGTTCTGTCTTGAAAGAGCTTGGCTTAGTTATTGCAGAAAACAACCAAAATTTTGCAGGGGTTGTGATCTGTCTTTCAGGAGAAGCTGGGGAAAAGGGAGAGAGAAGTGTCAGGATAGGAGAAACATTAAGTACAGCGTTAGCACAAGACCAAACGGGTATAGCCTGGCTATAGAAAAAGATCATGGTTTCTAACTAGCAAAGGGTCTGAAGTAGTCTTGAATAGGAGTGAGTGAGAAAGAGCAAGGATTATGATATTTCAATCATGAGGATTGCTTTACTGAAGGGATTAAATGATCTGATGGCTACAATAGCAGGAGCTGTACTCCATGACCAAGAATATTCTTCCAGTCCCAGATTTCACAAAGCTAGACAGCAGCATCCACATATCAACCTCTTTCCTGTAATTATGCCTGCTTTTTCCAAATTCAATAGTAAAATAATAACAATGTTTCAGAAACTGATCAAGAGAAAAGGAATCTTTCTGGCTTCCACTTCACCACCTCTTCATTTATGGGTTTTCGTAAATATCCTGTTTTGCTGCAGACCTCCTTCAGAGTGGGGGTTGTTGAGAGGAAGTGTCACCATTAGCTGATTTAGCTGAGGGAGGCTGGGAGGCATGAAGTCTCTCCTGCTTATCATTCTAATCAGGGTTGCATATGATCCCTGTGATAAATACAGTAAGACTGACTAAATATGAAACAGTGCTGCATTAAGTAGAATTATACATGTGCTTACAAGAACTTCTTCAGGCACACAAACAAACATAGGTCAAGATAACTAAACCAGGACAGAATATTTCCAGGTAATTGCTACTAATTTGATAAACTCTGCCCCCCCCCCCCCTTAAAAATTTTGTGTTTTTTTTTTGGGGGTCCCCCCCCCCCCCCCCCCCCCAAGAAGTTCTTTGTTCAGTTCTGCAATGTTTGAAACATGTCAGACATTCCCTGGCTCTCTAGCTCACCTGGAAACAAATACAGCATGTTTAAATGCAAATTTGTGTGTTAGAAGCCACAAGTGTTAGTCATAAGTAGGTCATAGAACACTGAATTCTGAAAGGCTTATCAGAAAATGATTTGGGGAAATAGCACATAACCAGTTGAACGAGATTCTGCAATACATTAATGCAATTAGAGGAGCTAACACACAGACTGTGGATGCTTATCAATTAAAAGAAATATTATTGCAGCTACATGTAGCATTCGTAACACCATTATTAGTTCATTTCTTCTGTTGGGATCCACATTTTAAACAAAGAGTTGCTGAAAAGATGAAAATAGTTCTGAAAAGGGCTATAAGAATGGTTTAATCCTGCATAACTTTCCTCAGAAATGAACAACCAAAGACCAACAAAATCTCTTTAACTTAACCAAAGGAAAGGCTAAGTAGTCACACCAGCCATAAGTATCTTAACGTGGTAAGATGATTTCAGGTAGGATTGTTGTGGTTTTTTTTTTTATCTACTAGAGAAAGATGGAAAGAATCCAGTAGTTAGACACTGAAGGTAAATACAATTAGACAGAAACAAAGTGCAGAATTTGTACAAAGGGGACCTACCTTTATTGCTGGAACCTCTTGCCTAAACATATGATCCAAGACTTGTAGTCTATAAATCTTGGTTAGGTATCTTAAAAAAACCCAAACCCTTAGCTCAGATGGAAGTCATGAAATTGATGCAGGACTTAGTTATAATTGTCTGTCCTAAAGTGATCATGATAATGTTCTCCTCTTAACATCAGCAATCCTCAGCCTTGCAAAGGTAAACCTATAGTGTATCCTAAAAAGCTGGTTCACAACTTCTCAGTAACTGCCAGACACTTGTGAAAAAGGAAATAATCGTACATTTTGTAGTGTTCAGGGGAAACACCAATTGCAAGCATAGAGACATATTAATGAGGTCATTTGAGTAATGTCTGCTGATGCTTGCAATGAGTTTGGCCTTGCAAGAAAATAGCTGCAAACTTTGCTAGAATCCTAGAGATGCTCTGATGCCTTTTCTCATCTTTCATATTGTGCTTCCCACCTGGTTCAAGTCACTCAGCTGTGGGAGAAGAATTGCCACATTACCCTAAGGCAGGTTGAGCTGATGATAGCCCAGCCTGACCACAAATGAACTGTTTTGGCAAGTCTCAGAAGAAAATGAGCGCTTTGGTGAAATTCTCTTCCTCTTATGTAGGTCAATATGAAGGTTTTGATAGGCCATGTAGCAAAATGGACAAGGTCAATTCAAACCTCAGCTCCTCTTGGTGCTGGTCAGCAGACAACCACAGAGTGGGACAAAAATGAGGCAAGTGCAAAAGCACTTTTCAATTTCATTGAGAATGGATGGGTGAAGGGATTCTTGGTTACATAGCAGGCATTCATCATTCTTCCTAGTGACCATCATCTCTGAACACTGCCAGTTCTTTCTGCAGCTGGAGGAAAGCAAGAAGCTGATTATCAAGCCAGGAACGAAGCAGAAACCAATATGGTGCCAGCACCATTGCAAGGCAACATCTTGTTGGCATGCCCTATGTCCAGTGCTAGCAGCAAGGGCACTATTACAGCAGCTGGAGGACTGGAGGACAAATCAAGTTCCTAGGCAGGCTGCTTGATGCTTTTTTTTTTTTGTTCTAACACCCAGTTTCTGCAACACTGCTGAGTTGTGGGTGAAGGCAGAAAAGCCCTGTGAAAACTGTAGGTATCGGAGTTGTCAGAGGAAGGGAGAAGAACCACTTCACTCTGCAGGAAAGAAAGAGACCAAACGTCTGAGAGAAAGCCCTGAAATGATACACCAGGTATGCTGCCACCAATCCAGGTGTTGGTTCAGCACCAGAAGCTGACTGGTGACCTCAAGTTCCCAGGTGCTCTCAAGCTGCTTGCAATGGTGTTTCCATCCTTTCTGTATGTTTCCAGGGTAGAGTTCTTCTGCCTGTTATCTGCTCAAGGAAATGAGGCCTTGCAGCCACGCCTTTCCCCTCCCCTCCTGTAGTTCCATCAGATGCCTCCATTTCCCAAAAGTCACTTCAAGTAATTTTAACCAGAATTTGTACAACACATTTTCCAAATGCTCTCAACTGCTTATCAACAGAAAGACAGGTGATTGCCTGTTATTGCTATATCTGTTTGCATTACCAGAAATCCATATTCAAAGTTTTGCCTAACCCCCACATTCGGAGTCCAGTAGAACACAATAAAAAGATGGCCTTTCCTTTTAAGAATTTCTAGGGTAGAACAAATTATTTGATAGATACCACTGAGAGGGGAGGTAATACAAGAAGGTGACAGCACAGTCTCAGCATGTGGGTAGCCTAGATATCGTCTGGGTTTTAGCAACACAAAGCAGAGCTTTAACGAGAGACTTGAATGAGATTGAGGTAGCTCAAGAGAATTGTAGGCAGCACCTTCAGTGTGTAAGGAGTAGCATGAAGGAAGGTTAGGAGAAGTTTGATGATCTAGTGGGAAGTAGAAGGTGGCATCATAGAAAGAGTTGACTTCTTGATATGGAAGTGAGAGATGACAAGAGGACAAGGAGAGGCTGCCAGTGACTTTGAAAGTGGGGACAAGAAGCTTGTGTTTGATGTGACAGAGAAAGGGAGATAGAAGAATTGTGTAAAGAAATGTAATGGGTTCAAAGTGACAGACATAAAAAAGGACCTTTGCATCTCTGACCTTTGGATGACTACAAGGAAGACAAGATCCACTTTACAAAGGCCTGATAAAACATGAAATTGAAGCGTCATACAAAATCAAGGATTTCATGTGGAGATGTGTGCATAAGATTCTTCAACATGCTTGAGTACCCTTTGATACATGTAGTGATGTTATATTCCAGCCCACAGCAGACAGCCAGGACTCCTAGGTTCTATCCCACCTCTGCCATCCACTTTTATATAGAGTAGATTGTTTTGTCAGTGCAGTTTTTCTTGTTGCAGTTCACTCGTATGCTCACCTAAGTCTTAGAGGAAGTCAGAAGCTTCAGGCTCTGATTTGGCAGTGGCTCTGAGCTGTTCCAAAATGTGCTCTGCTCGCTCTCCCTTCCACAGCAAGATACGAGTGATGCACAGTGGGAGCAGGCACAGCAGACCTGGGGACCCTTGAATACTCTGTTTCCATTCCTTACATCTTAGCAATTAGTCATAAATGACCTGCTCTCCCTTGGCCATAATCCCTTCAATCTCTTCGAGAGGCAGCACCAACAGGCACTGAAGAAAGGCAGGGCACTGACTCGCACCTATGAAGTAAAACAGTGACAGGCAATAGTGTGTCTGTACCAACATGCACATTCCTCCATCCATTAAGGTTAACTCCAAGTGCACATTCTCCAGAGCAATCCATTGTGCTACTAAGTGTGATTGTTGATCATGGGCATTCTTCAGTCATCCCTGCCTACAAGAAAATATTTTGTAGGTCCTTTAAGAAAAATTAATGCTAGATTATCTACCTCCTGAATACCTAGGCCTCTAAGCACGTCTGACAGAAACACGTCAAGTGCACATAGTAGACTCACATGATCAGCATACAAACTGCTGTAGAATAAGGAAGTAGTAGGATTTCCTCATCTGCACAGATTATCAGAGAACCCCATATAACCAGTCTTTTTCTCCCTTCACCTTTGAAGAGCCATTTTTTCAAAACTTGATGCTCACGAACAGCTACGTACTTCTAGATTTGACAGAGTTGGATCCCAGAGGCTGAAAAAAAAGCTGCTACAAAGGATGACTACTGCAATAAAGTGATATTCATACACACACATATGTACATATATGTATGTATATACATATCTATACGTACATTAAAAAAACATATTTTTGTCTGCAAAGTCCCAGACGCTGAGGGCTATTTTGGCTGGATTCATTTACATTCACCTGTTTCAGAAAGTAGTACCTAAAAATCATTTGTTCAAGATGGTGTTTCTTTCTAGCACAATCCATATCAGAATTAACGCAATAGCGTGGTTTTGTGCTCAGCAATCTAGCAGAACAAAAGTGCAAAGACCCTTCTAGTGGTTTTATTGTTCTAAGTTCCTTTTACAAGAAACAATACAGAATTCCATATTTAAAGAAATTATTTTTCAATATCTTAGCTCAGTAGATGTATCCTATCATTATTTACTAGCATACATAGCACAGGAATATGTTAAACTGTCTTACCAGCTCAAAGGAAACACCGCTTTTCACACTGCTTCTTGTCCCTTGATAGTTTAGGCTCTGTGGTTTGATGATCAGGCAGTAGCAGCAGTGGCATAATAAAGCAGAGCTTACTGTGCCCGATTCTAAAGATAATCTCAAGAACCAATGAAAAATTGCTCAGATTATCAGATTGAGTTAAAGTAGCTGTATGTGCAATCACTCATTAGTGATGCAGAAACTGAGGAGTTTCTGTTAAAGGGTTAACATTTAAAAGGCCAAGTAATTTGCCGAATATAAAAGTACCTTCTTGCAACATTTATATAAAGAGGCCAACAGAAGAGCTCCAAGTGACCTAAAGCCATTTCCTAGCCTTGTCTGAATGTGAGGTGAGACTGCTTCCATCCAAGGCCTCTGCCCAGCTGTGCTCAGACACCTGAGGCATCCCTGAACTGCCCTGTCCTGCACTTCCTCCACAGCCTATTGCTGCACTGTGCTCAAAGGGGCAACTCTGGAAGCAAAGGCAAACAAGCATTGCAGTGCTTCCATATCCAAATCTTAGACTGTATAAGGAATAGATCTTTCCATTCCCAGCTGCAATGCTGCAGTAGTAGTGTTACAGTCAGGATCCATCAAGTCAGTCACGTACATGGGGTCTAGTGCCAGAGAAGGGGAAAGAGAGAAGCAGGCAAAACACAGACTGAATAACAGTGTGCCAGTATCAGATTTAGGGGCCAAGAGACAGGAAGACAGAGGCCATGCAGAAATGGAGACAGACATTTCCAAACTGGTACTACAGATTGAATTATGGTCCTTCTCCCAATACCTGCTTTTGGGCCTTCCCCATCCAGTAAGACTCCTGCCAACTCCCATGAGGCCCCATGGTTACCTATCTAAATGTATATTACACTTTTTATAGTTACAACAATCCTGAACAGGAGCAGAAACAGAAAGCCCCTAAAACGCAAGCAGCCTTCAGAGTGTCATTTAAGCAAATAACACCTGCTGCCTCAGAGCTGTCCAGATGCCTGTAGTTTGCCTGCTGCAGCAGAAAACATCTTGTGTCCTGTAGGGACAAATTGTATTCCTGCATCTTCCCAGCCTACTGTCGCAGGTCACCATAAAGATGCTATGGCTATGTAAGACCCACAGCTTTTATAATTTTCTGCCTACAGGGCAGACAGAAAGATCACTACAAGAGTTCAGCAGCAGTTTGGCTCAAACGGCTAAGCACAAACTTGTTTTCCCAGTTTCCTTTCATATTACTATTCCAAAATACACAGCAGTATTTCTGACAAGAATATCACAGCTCTCTGCAAGTTACCTTTTTTCATACTTCCCCTGTACCCCAAGTGCCACTCAGCCCAAAGACCATTAACTGAACTCCTGCTCTCCAAAGGCCACTCAGACCCTTCTTTCATGTTTTCCAGGACCCATTTGCACCTGCCCCACTATCCCACAATTAGCTTCCATCAAGTGAACAGTGTTTCTCACCAGGTGATTTGTTTTAAGTTGCATCTGCCTTGAAGTTTGGTTTTTTTTGTTGTCGTTGTTCAAAGTTCCCCTCCTCCCTTAAGCAGCCTGAGGCCAGTTACCACAATGTAGTTTCTGAAGTGCAAATAGCTGCAAGATGAAGCTGCAGAAGATCGTGTTACAGACTATCAGCGATGCTTCTGCCCAGTACACATTCGCATAGACATTAGCACGATGCAAGCAGACCTTGTAGGACAACGCGGGGCAGGCTCAGCTCATCAACAAGGAAGTGGAGTTGGCTCGATCCTCTGCTGCCTCGTGGAGGGCATGCAGGGTACTTGCAGAACAGCAGGGAGGATGTATAAGCACGCTAAGACAATACCTCCCACAACTTATCACAGAAGATGACAAGAAAAATGGAAAACAAGGAAGGAAGGAACCAAAAAACCTGATTTCTTGGAGCAGTGCCCAGGAAGCCCCTGAGCTGGGGGTATATTGAGGGAGTAATAACACGGGCAAAGCTAAGTCCTGCAGGTTCAAAATCAATATAGCAGATACCATGGCTGTTCTAAACAATCAAACCAGGGATGTGGACGCATAGAAATACTCTCCCAGCACTCAGCTGTGAAAGAAACAGCTTCTCTTCATTAAAGTGCTCCCTCTTGTTTAGGGAGCTGTGGGGTTGGCTAAAGTCTTGGGTAAGGGATGGGGGAGAGGGAAGAGAGTTTATTGGTATCACAGCAACAACAGATTACTACTGCACTGGAAACATACATCATTCACCACAAGGATTCTCTCAGTGTAAGATCTTCTGGAGCCGAGCAGCCCATGTGTTAGTAGCACTATGCCTACATAAGATGTGTCTTCACATTCAATCTCAGTATTACAGTAACTTTTAAAGACAATTATCCTAAACAAAACAGGGATGCAGACATGTCAGAGGGAAACATATTCACAGTTACAGTGCAAATAGCAGTTTCATGGTTGGCTTTATTAGCTAGCAGAAATTTCTCAAGCTTTGTGCTACTGACCTGTTAACTGCAGCAGACCAGGTCCAAGGCAGAAGATGGAGTTGCAAGCACATCCAGGTAGGACATTTCTGAAATTTCTGCATAGTTCTAAAAGCTGCTCAATGTCTCAGTTAATGTGCTTGGAAAATGCTGGGAGAGATGCTGATTCAGTAGAAAGCCCTGGTAGCAAGAGTTTGTCTGGAATTATATGTATTTTGAAGACTTTTCATTTGCAGACTCCACCTGGAAAGGCAAAGTCTTTCTGAAACCCAAGTTGTGTTTGGTCTCTTGGACATGCAGTTCTGTGATGATTATAAGAATTGTTTTTGATCAAACCCCATGGACAGGGCTGGGACCCTCCATAATTAACAAACTATTACAGCTGGGTTTAAAGAGCCAAAGAAAAAGTAGGAAAAGTAATACCACCTGTGTTGGTTGGAAAGGGTAGGGGAATTTTAATGTAACAAACATGCTTACCATGGGTTATGCTTCTAAGATTCCATGTACATCCAAACTCTCAAGTCATGTGAGAATACCAGGGAAAATAATTTAAAGTTTCATACTCTTTATAAGATTACTGTCAAAACAATTTGTACATTTACATAAGCTAAAGGGCAATTTTCAAGGTACAGTTGCTTTTTCTGCCATTATAAAGGGTTTGACCTAGGATTCTAAAAAAAAAAAAAACCCCACCAAAAAAAGGGGAAAAAATCAATCATGTCAAGTTTGAGATATTAACAGGATAAGTGGCAATAGAAATAGGCATATACTTCTATGGACCTAACAGTTTTTAGTTGTATGCAATAGAGCTTACACAAAGTAAACCTTGTTTCTCTTCTGAATTTTGCTAACATTTTGCTCCTGGCACAGCATGGAAAAGGCCCTACACTCTGCAAGACAACATCAAGTCCTTAGTTTGTCTGTGTCCCATTAACAGGGCTGTCAGAGCGACAGGAGACCCACTGCTTGACGTAGCTTCGTGGAAAGTCCTCTCCTTCCCGCTCAAGAGGGATGGACCCACAGTTGGTCTGACTGTTTTGCTCAAATTCACAGTCAACCGGACTCCCACAGTCCGAGTCCACAAAGCCACTGTCAATAGTGTCCAAGTCTACGCAGATCATAGGGTAACTGTCACCAGGCCTTGCAATGTGAGGGAAGAAGTCATAGGAGCCTTCACTGTAGGAAACACTTTCACCATCAGGAAAAGGTAGAGAAGCTGGATTTTCAAAATCCCACTGATTAGGCTGCAAGCAAAGGGCTTCTAGGATGCTCCCCATCCCTCCTTCCAAAGCCCTTTCTACTTGCTGGTGGGCTGGGACACTTGTACTCCTCAGGTGATCTGTGGACACAGAGCCTGAAGCAAGTATTTTGTCCTGCGTGCTCAGGTCAGCCAGATGCAAGTCATTGGATATCTTTCTGTCTTCTTCATCATCAACGTTAACCCTGGGGTAACCAGTTTCTCCAGCACTACTGTCTTCCTCATTGGTGTGCTCATGTCCCCTGTACACACGGTTACAGTTGTACTGGCAGTTACAAGGTGTAAATTCATCAGTCACAGTCACAGTGTCAATGGACAAATGCCCGTATGACCGGTCCCGAGTCCCACTGCTACTGTTTGCACGAGACAGCAGGGACTGGCTATCCTGACCTGGGGCAGTCAGGCAAGACACACAAGGTTTGCAAGGCAGATCTTTTCTCAGCTCATGCAGCTCCTCTCGTGAGGTGCTGTTGGAAGGACGCATGGTGTAAACTTCTAGAACTTCTGGAAGGACCATTCCCCATTCAAAGAAATCGAGGGTCATTTTCGTATGGGATTTGCACGAGACAGCAGGGACTGGCTATCCTGACCTGGGGCAGTCAGGCAAGACACACAAGGTTTGCAAGGCAGATCTTTTCTCAGCTCATGCAGCTCCTCTCGTGAGGTGCTGTTGGAAGGACGCATGGTGTAAACTTCTAGAACTTCTGGAAGGACCATTCCCCATTCAAAGAAATCGAGGGTCATTTTCGTATGGGATACACCAACCCACTTCTGCATAAAAGGACATACCGGGGGGGGGGGGGGGGGGGGGGGGAGAAGAAGGGGGAAGGGAAAAAAGGTTTTGCACAAAAAAAAAAAAAA